CCCCCTCCAAGCCAGCTTTCTTATTGTGCCTCTCTGCCAATCAGAAACATGGGCCCAGGACGCTCTGGACTCAGGCCAGGGGCTTAGCAAGGGAGGGGCCAGGAACAAAGAGGGTCTGCTGGGAAGCCTCTCCTATGAGAGTCAAGTTGGTTAGGGACCCTGGACATCTGGAGGGCTTCATGCCTCCAGAGAAGGGCAGAGAGACCACAGGGCTGGTCTGGCCTGTCCCTCAGTCTCTCTGTGGGCCCAGGAGGTAGAGCAGCCTCAAGGACCCCCCTCTGCTGTCAGAGCTGACCATCTGTCCAGTGGGGTACAGGGAGCGGGGGATGGGGGGCTGCCGAGCGCAGCCCCTGCTCCCCAAACCCCGCCCCCCCACCTGCTCCCCCCTGGCCAGGAAGCACCACCACTGGGTAGGGGGGCTGCGTACTCGGTCACCCTCCGTGCCTCAGTCACCATCCCTGCCTGGGGACCACGTCCCGCAGGGCAGCCCAGGGGCTCTGCGGCGCGTCTGCTCTGGGAAATGAAAGGCTTCATGCACCAGCCTCTGAACATACAAACTCAGCCTGATGAGATTTGTTACAAAGAAAGCTCTGCCCATGAAGTGGAAAAAAATACCCCCTTGTGGGTCGCCCCTTTCCATGGGGGGGGGGGAGGCGGCGCGTGGGGACAGCAGCTCCGCAGAGCCCTGCTGCCCCCAGCCCAAGTTGTCAGAGGCTGCAGCCCGGACCCAGGACGCGCGGACGCACAGACGACGGCCCTCCACACGGGCCGCCCTCCGTCGCTGCGCCAGGTTCCCTCACCCGCCGCTACGACCCCCCGCGCCGCCACCCGGGGAGGGGCCCCTGCGCGGGATCGCACGATGGGGGCCAAGCACAGCGCTGCGGGGGAGGGCGTGAGCAGCGGGGGTGGGGGCACACAGCGGGGTGGGGGCGCTCGCACCGGAGGCCGCGGGTGCGGAGGGTGGGGAGGAGGCTACCTTCTGAATGCGCCCATCGATGTCCAAGTAGATGGCCTTGGGCCGGTAGCTGGAGGAGCCGGATCCCATCTTGCGCCGAGCGGCTGCACTTGGACTTTTTACTGTACTTTCTCGACGCCAGCCGCCGCGGGGAGGGCGGGGAGTGGGAGGGAGGAGGGGGCGGCGGCGGCGGCAGGACGGGGGAGACTAGCCAACCAGAGCGCCGCCGCCGCACGGTGCGGGTTCGGGCCGCCGCCTCTGGCGCGCGCGTCTAGGCTCGTGCTCCGCCTCCAGCCTCGGCCTCCCTCCTCCTCCCTCTTCCTCCTCCCTCCCTCGGCCTCCCTCCTCCCCCTCCTCCTTCCCCCCCTTTCCCTCCCACCCCCTCTTTCCCTCCTCCGCCTCCCTCTTCCTCCCTATCCCTCCTCTTCCCTCCCTCCTCCTCCTTTCCCTTCCCTCCTCCCCCTTCCTCCATTCCCACATTAAGGCACACCCCCTCTTCTTCCGTCTGACTCCAGCCGCCTTGGGGATAGGGCCAAGTGAGAAGCCTATCTCCAAGTGACCCCTGGACAGATGCCCATAGCAGGTGACCCCCCTGGCTACAGAGTTGGTCACCTTCCCAAGTGCCAGAAGAAATTCCCAGAGCGACCCCCTCTGGCTGCAGGCTGGTCACCTTCCCAAGTGCCGGAAATTCCCAGAGCGACCCCCTCTGGCTGCAGGCTGGTCACCTTCCCAAGTGCCAGAAATTCCCAGAGCGACCCCCTCTGGCTGCAGGCTGGTCACCTTCCCACATGGACAGTTGCCCAGA